GTAGATGCTACCGATCCAAATCCCTCAAATCATTATAGCAACTTTTCTTATCACTGGCACTATCTTTATCTTTGTTCCCTCGAATCATTATAGAAACTTTTCTTATCACTGGCACTATCTCTGTCTTTGTCAATGCTTAACTCATATGTACTCCTACTGCTAACATCCTAACTGGATATGTATATGCATTTGATGTCTAGTCTATCAAGTCAAATGACCAACATAATCCATAAATAGAGCTAAAACCTAAAAGGTCAATAAAAGTTTTATTTTTTTAGTCCAATATAGATTAAAAAGGTCAATACAATTCAAAAATATTTTTTTTTACATTGCATTTCTTTTTGAATAGTTGCAGCGTAAAATTGTAAATTTGTGGAGCCTACTTTACCATTAGAAGGCTAAGAAGCATGACTAAAATAGAAAGACAGACAGGCTCATAAAGCATTCACGCTTCACAAATGAAGTGGTTTGTAGACGGCAGGATTACGACGAAGTGACAAACCCGTGGGCGCGTCAGTTGCATTACAACGGCCAACTGGAATGCTCTATCCTGTCACCATTTCGGTGTGAGTTTTCTTAATTAGCAACAGCTCATTCGAATAGAAAAAAAAATAATAATAAGGATGGCAAATAGAGTTCCATTTGACAATAATTTATAATTTATGCTACGTGCTTCTGCGGTTTTAAAGAACTGCAATTAAAAAATATAGCGGCTAATTAAAAAAAAGAAGAAAAAAGAGCAGCTTATTAGTTGAAATAAATATGAGCATCCTAGGCTGAAAATTTAAAAATGAGCTAATATGTTGTCGGACATTCTGAATGCCCCAATCAAATTATTATTATTTATTTAACTATTATTATTTTAACTAATAAATATTATTTTAAATGTTTGTTAAATATTTAAATATTTAATTATCATTAAATAATAATTAAAATAATAGTAAAAACTCTCTCCCCTCCTCACTCTCTCTCCTCTGTTAACTCTTTCTTTCTCTCTCTCCCCCATTAGCTCTCTCTCCTCTCTCCGCTCGCTCTCTCTTTCTCCCTCCTCTTCCTCTCCCCTCTCTCTATCTCTTTCTCTCTCTAAGCTGAATACACTAATTTGGACATTCAGAATGCGCCAAACTATTTGTTGCATTTTAAATGTGCCGAACCTTTCATCGTATTAGCTCCTTTTTTAATTTTCAGCCTGCAATGCACCTACTTATTCGAACTATTAAGCTGTTCCTTTTTAAAAATTACTCAAATATAGCTATATAAAAGCTAAAAATTTACGCCGCCCAACTTGATTCGTTAAGTGTGAGATTTGACTATCAACCAAGAAGTTTTTGTATTTGAAGCCTATATATGTGATGTGTATGTGAGTTTATGTTAATTGGTTTGAAAGTCATAATATACACACACACACACCCGCCATGCAAACTCTTTGTCATTTGTCATTAGAGTTTTAAATTTGCGCAGCTCCACTTAACCTATTGATTGAGAGTTTTAACTATCAACTAAGAGGTCTTTATGCTCGAAGTTTTCATATTTGATGTGTGTGAGAGTTTGATTTTAATTAGCTCAAAAATAAAATAAAATAAACTTCAGTGATAAAATGATTTCGAATTGAAATCCAAGTGAATGACTTCGGATATATGTTAGATTATTTGGTGAAGAGAAAAAGATTTTTAGGTCTGTACAGAAATATGCAGATGGATGCATACATAAATTACATATACAGTTAGTCAATAGAATGAATATAATTACGTATGATATTCTAAGTAATTATTCACGTTTCCAATAATGAAAAATTTGAATGAATAGTATTGAAGATCGATGACAATATAAGTTTATTTTTCCAAAAAGCATGCTATGGTTTACTTATGTTTAACATTATAATACATTATGAAATAGGCGGTTCAAAATCATTAATTATCATCTAAAATTGACTTTATCAACAAAAATCTCGATGCATATGTACATATGTATCAAAAGCTTTTAAAGTTAAATTCAAGATAATATGAACTCTGACTTTTCAGCAAAATTGATAGTTAAATTGAATATATTAATGGTACAAATTCATCAACACTAGACGTGGCATCATATTTGGGGTGTCAAATATTAACCCGACCCGGAATCAACCCAAAAAATTTCGAGTTCCGGTTAACCCATTTGCCTGATGGGACGGATTCAGATTTCATTTTTCTACCCGTTTATAAATTGGGTCGAGCTCAGGTTGACCCAGAAACTCTAAATGAACACGTGTTTGACCCGCGAGCCACCGATCCGCTCACACCAGTTGGTCCCAAGTTCGGCCCAACTTCCTACACTACACCCGTTTTGCATTGCGTTAGGTCCCACCTCGGCCTCATCTGTAACCCATGATCGCGTTGGCCTCGCATGCAGTGGGTCCAGACTCAGCCGTTTGACCCAACTCATTTGCTTAACCGATCGAACTCGTAGCCCACTAGCTCGAGCAACCGTGCCGGCCTCACCTGCAGCGCATCCAAACTCAACCGCCCAGCCCTTTCCGCATCGTGCCCTCGCGTGTCTCATTCAAACTCAACCCTTGCCTCCATTGATCAGGTGTTCACGTTTGGGTTCTTGGTCGAGTCGAGTCAACCTGATAACTCGTGTAGGTCAAGTTTGAGTCAGAATTCCTGGCCCTTTTGCAAAATCGAGTCGGGTTATGGTCAACCTATTTGGACCCGAGTAAATTTGGATTGGACTCGAACCTGACCTATTGCATCGTTTTGACACCCCTACCCCATATTATTTAAAATGAGCCAAAATCATACATTTGAAACATAATTATAAACTCGAAACATTTTGGATGATCAAATAATCTTTAGATCTTATATGCTTGCTTATAGATAAATTAAGCATCTCGATGAGCCCAAATAGCTCACCAACTATGTTCCTTCTAACCTTTGTTACCCGCATTTCCCTTGGACCTTTGTTGCCTAACAACGGTCCCTCCGACCACCATTATTTGTCGACTAGAATTCTTCTAGCCTTCATCACTCACTAACTATAGTCCCTCTGACCTCAGTCGTCGTCCGACTACGATCCCTGACCTAGATTGCCCAACTATAGTCTCTCTGAGCACCATCGCCCAACTATCTATCTCTCCAAACACCATCACCCGAGTATGGTACCTTTGACCACCCTCACTTCGACGATAATCCCTCCAACCAATGTCACCTAACTACGGTCCCATTGACCACCATAGTCTAACTGCAGTCCTTGGACCACTGTCAACTGATTATGTTCCTTCTGACCTCAGTCTCTCATTGACTATGGTCCCTCCGACCTCCGTCGCCCGACTATAATCCTTCCGACCTCCATCACTCGAATACGGTCCCTTCTATCACCGTTGTCTGACTATAGTCTCTCTGACCTCTGTTATTCGCTACAGTCCCTTTGACCTTGGTCGTTAAACTGCGGTCCATCCGGCAACCGTCTCTCAACTACGATTATGCGACCAAATGAATAGGCCAATATTCTCCTGAAAACAACTCTCATGTCATTGGATTCTTCAAACTACAATCATGTAATATACTTTATATTATGTATATTTGCTACATTGAGCTAAAACATTCCTTTGAAGAATAGCATTATTTTTACTAAATGATAAAAAACTAGTGAAATCATTTCAACCTGATGAAACCCTGTAATTTTTCCCCTTTTCAAGATTTGCACGTAAGAATTTTAGTATCTCTTATGACACTTGCACCTCTCTCTCTCATTTATGTGTATGCTAGATCTTCTTATGAAACGGGAGCCTAACATTTCTTTTTCAAATATTTTCTCAAATTTTTAAGCTTGAAATCAACATTGACAATTAAATAAATTTATTAAATTTGTTGTTTAAAATTGAATATAATAGCAAAAGCAACATATTCAAATTCAACTCAGTAAAATCAAACTCCATGCAATGTTTTACATTATATTCCTTTGTTCTTTTTTAATCAATTCCAAAAGATGCTTCCTAAATTATAGTAGAACTTATTTTTTGCATTAATGAACTAATAAGATAAATGAAGCTAAAAACACGAGTTTTTCATCATGCTCTCTTCCTCCCATTTCACCACCACTCTAGCTGAACAAATGCTTTAAAATATCAATTTCAATATATGTTGGTGTTTTTGGAAATAAAAATAATAACAAGAATTTAATAAATTAATTATAAACGCTTAAATGAATATGCAGAATTTTCTCTTTTAAATATTTAAAAAAACAAATAAAAAAATTTATTTAAAAAAAGAAACATATAATTTTTTGGGGGATCATGCCCCCATATTCCACGAATTTTTATTTGTTCGGTTGACTGGATGAAGCATCCGGTCGTAGGCAAAAAAAACGCGATACCGACTCGTTACCAAGTTTTTAAAAAAACTCGGTACACCTCGGTACCGAGTTTTTTTTGCCTACGACCGGATGCTTCTATGCATCCGGTCGGAGGACGTAATAATTGTTCCATATTCCACACCTTGTATCCAATATACATATACTATAAATTCAAAGCATTAAAAAATTTTTACTGACAACTTTCCACTTTTATTTAACTTGGTTGGTGGGCTAATATGATAGCGAGATAGCACCTCTTAAGTGGGGCCCAATCGAATGCGGGCCATATAATTTGTAAGGTGAGTATCTTTTCTAAGTCACTTGAGAATTAATAATTTTGTCAAAAGCTCTTTCAAAAGTGGTAGCGGTTGGATGTTACTTAAAAAAAAAAATTACAAATGAATAAAGTTGGTTTGCAATGCTATATTATATTCGCTTGGCTTCCAAGTTCCAAAGGTTTAAGAAAGGGGAGGACATCAATTTCCAGAAGTTTTCAAAAAAATCAGGTAACATTTTATGTCAACATAAATGCAGCGTCAGTCACCAGGCAGCAAAAATAAGAAAGACAAGAAAGAGAGATAATATGAGAACAAAAGATTACATCACCCAGCTGCTTAGATTAAATAAAACTTAAGCGTTGAACAGGACTCGGTGGGCGATTCTAACAACAGGTTACTGCCTTAGTCTCCTACAGTATAAAGAGGGGCAGAGAGTTCCGAACATGAAGCAAACCCGCGGCCTCCATCCTCTCTCTGCTCGTTTAGGGTTTCTCTCCCCTCTTTCTCTCTCGAGAAATGGCTTTGTCTAGTCTCTCTTCTCCACGGAACTATTTCCAAAAAACGCTACGCTTATCTGCTAACTCCACCAAAGCTACTGGAAGTTCCCCAAAGGTTTCCATGACCTCCACAACTTATACCGAGTGAGCTTCTTATTAAACATTCATTTAGATCATCCTCTTCTCCACTTTCTTTCAGTCTATGCATGTATGTATTTGTATTAACGTATCTTCTTATGATCGATCAGAGTAAGCACTCATAAGAAGCCTTTCAGACCTCCACATGAAGTAGAAAATCAAATAATTCATTCCATGCCATCAGAAAAGATGGAGATATTCAAGTCCTTAGATAAGTGGGCAGAGCAGAACATACTGACTCATCTGAAACCAGTGGAGAGCTCATGGCAACCTCAGGACTTCTTACCTTCTCCTGCATCGAGTGAGTTCTATGAGCAAGTGGAGGAACTGAGGAAGAGGGCTAAAGAGATCCCTGATGACTACTACGTATGCTTAGTTGGGGACTTGATCACAGAGGAAGCTCTTCCAACTTACCAGACAATGCTGAACACCTTTGACGGTGTGAGGGATGAAACAGGGGCAAGCCTCACATCCTGGGCTATTTGGACGAGAGGATGGACTGCAGAAGAGAACAGGCATGGGGACTTGCTTAAGCAGTATCTTTATCTTTGTGGAAGAGTGGATATGAGGCAGATCGAGAAGACGATACAGTATCTAATTGGTTGTGGGATGGTAAGGCATGAAATATCTCTGTTTTAGTTGTGTTTCCTCGGCTTCTGCTTTACTTGGTTTTAGTTCGGTTTACCTGCAGCTTTTTTTATTAATGTTTTTCACAACAAAATTTCTTATGCAAGAACAAATTAAAGTAGAGCACAGGGATGCTAATTTGGGGGCTTTGACTTCAATTATGGCGGGCGGGACTTTGAATTTATTTACTATTATCTTTCAATAATTATAAGTAAATGTACTCAATATCTAAAAGAAATTTGAAATATAACTTATTGGAAAAAATCTGTGTTTATTAATTATATTGAATATATGTTGATTAATATTTTAAACTGTGTAAGCAAATTATTTTTTGTCTTTTTGGAACGGGTATCCATTCGTTGCCACCCTCGAAAGGGTGTTGGGCGGTGTGATTAATCTTCGGTTGACCTAGAAGAGGCACCCATCCCAGAAACTTTCTAACCTTCACTTGATTCGACCCTACATAAGAGGTGTTGTCGGTCGAGAGCAATCGAGTAGGGGTTGGGGCAACCGTACTCGTCCACCAACAAATTATTTTTGGTTTTTAGTTTGTTTTATTGTTTGAAGGAGTTCTTTGTCTTTTTGTGTGTGTATGTGTTTTTTTGTTTGAAGTTCTAATGTAAGATTTTTTCTGTCTTTTGTGTGCTTAATAGTTCATAGAGTTGATTTTTTAAAATTTATATATATTTGTTGAAATAATTAGGATGAGCCTAAATTCATTAACTATAAAAAATTACATCAACGAGTAAAATAGAAATACAACTTGATACAGTATGACAACTTAAATACAAAAAACTAATTACAATGTTAACCAGAAATTAAAGAAAGAGAAGCAAAAAATAATGATTAAACGCTTAGAATGAGCCAAAATGTCACCAATGAATCATAAATATTTTCATCATTATAAGAAATACACAAGTTCCAACCATAAAGGATTGATTCTTTTTTGTTATTTCACCTGAAAAAAAAAATTATTTAAATACACAATGCTTAACAAAATATATTGTTTCTATTAAAATATCTGATTCTATGCAAGTATTTTTATTCAATGTGAAATATTTTATATTCAATTGAACGATATAAACTATGCCACTACAGAATATTATTATAATGCATTAGATAAATCAAATTTTATTCTTTTAGCTAATTTTCTAAGAGATGTATTATTAGTGCGGTATTTTATATTATTTTGTAAATTAGCGTTTCATTAATATTATCTGATATCATTTACTCAAATTCGAAAACAGTATATAGTTAAAACAGCTGAAATGAAAACCTACGATGTTTGTGAATTTGAAGAACAAAGCTCACCTATTTCTGAAAGCAAAAGCATCTAAGCCCATTCAAGATTATTCTGCAATGCTTTTTTTCAGCTGTGTTTGAGATTTTGTTAGAAAGCATTTAAAAATAATTTTTTTGTTATATTTAAATTAGAATTTTACTCTTCTGCTTCATTTGTCACAGCTTTCTTACTACTTTTAAATTAACTTTCTAGTATGAAAATTTATATTTTTTACTAAAAAATAATTTTAAGAAGCACTTAGAAAATTGTCCCAAACAAAAACTTAATATATCTCAATGTGAAAAAAAAGAACATATAACCGATCAAATACAATGAAATAAAGGCTTGATATTGTTGTTCTTCTCGTCGTTGTATTTGAAGTTGTAATAAAATAGGCTTTTTATTTGGCATAGAGGGACTTGAATCTTCACTAGTCACGATCAAAATTTTGACGGGTTTTACTATTACTATAAATTTGACATGTAAAATGGGACTCTCTCTTTATTCTTGGTTGATTAATCTTCAAAAGATTTTACCAAATTCTAGAATGAATCATTTGTTCACGGAATATTCAAATTTATTTTTCAGTTTCAACTTCAATAAGAATTGATTGACAAAAACTCTTCAATTTTTCACCTGCCAACATTTTTTTCACGTAAAGCTTCTCCATTCACAGTACATAAACACAGAGAACAGTCCATACAAAGGGTACATATACACGTCCTTCCAAGAGCGCGCCACTTACATCTCACACGGCAACACGGCCCGCCACGCCAAGCTTTACGGCGACCTCAAACTAGCTAAGATCTGCGGCACCATCGCCGCAGACGAGAAGCGGCACGAGGCGGCCTATTCGAAGATCGTCGACAAGCTCTTCGAGCTCGACCCCGATGGAGCCGTCATCGCCTTCGCCGATATGATGAAGAACAAGATCACCATGCCGGCTCACCTCATGTTCGACGGCCGCGACCACCGCCTCTTCCACCATTTCAGCGCGGTTGCTCAGCGCCTGGGAGTTTACACGGCTAAGGACTACGCAGATATTACGGAGTTTTTGGTTGGGAGGTGGAAGGTGGAGAGCCTCGTGGGTCTATCTGATGAGGGGCGGAAGGCGCAGGATTTTGTGTGTAGGTTGGCGCCCAGGTACAGGAAGCTAGAGGAGAGAGCACAAGGACGGGCTAAACAGGGCTTCAGTACTGTGCGTTTCAGTTGGATTTTCGACAGAGAAGTACAGGTATGAGCTGTGGAAATTTCCTGTGCTGTTCAAGATAGGAAATTTCTTATAAATCGGTTGTTATATAATATTATGTTAATTGATGAAGATTAAAGATGTTGTGACTTCTTGAGACTCTACTTGAATAGTATTTAAATACAGAATATGTAATATGACTGGTGTATATTGCGCTTCATTATAATTAAGATTTTGTTTTAGATGGATTACTTATTATTTGGCTGCTAAATTTTTTATTGTTTTTAGAAAAACTTAAATTAAAAATCTACTTTATGCTACGATTTTTACAAGTTATTTTTCTTTAATAATAATTTTACAATTATTTTTATAAAATATTATGAGTCCCGGCCCGAAATTGAATTGACCTAAACATAGTCCAATAGATTGTCATGTGTATTGTTCATGACAAATGAAAAATAAATTATGTTTCTTTTTGGATTTGACCCTCCTACTGTGGTGTTCTTCATTGGGTTTGAGCTTATTTTGTTGGAATGTTGTGATGCCAAGGCGGTGGGGTTTCTGGCTTTTGGTTTTAACTATGATGAGGCAAGCTTTGTTTCCCCTGGAAGGCCTTAGCTTGTTTTAACAATCTTGGTGGCTCCTCCTTCTATGTGTTCGTGGGTGCCTTTCGTACTTAGGTCTTCTTGCTAATGGTTTTTTCTTTCACCAATGGATGGTCCAAGCTTAGAAAACTGGGTGGTGATCATGAGTCTGACAATTCAAATTATTTATACTTTCTAGTTTACTTTGCTTTGTGTAGATTAATGTGGTTTCTTCAGCTTTATAATTTTTTGTTTATTTGGCTTTTTAGCCTTTGTTGTAAATTTAAGAAAAAAAGTATTGTTCATGATAGTGAATGTTTATTTCAGAGTAATATGTACTTTGAAATCACAGTACTTTTAAATTTTTGCGGTTGCTCTTCAAAATCGCATATTCAAATGATGCATGGGACTGTATTTGGCTTGGTTGGTTTATGAGTTGCAGTGGATTTTTTATGTGATACATTATTTGAGTTAAATAGATCTTGATTTCACTTTCAAAATATTTTATTCAATCTGGAATAAGCACTATATTAAGTGGCCTGGTTATTTTAAAAGTGGTTAAAGTTTCAAAATTCTCCACTACTCTAGAATCATAAGATTTTGAAATATGAAAAAGAAGAAGAATTTGAATTTACTTAGATATTTCAAGGGATATGATTCATTCTTGAAATACTAATCCTAAATTTCAATCTCGCTCTCTCCCTTGGTCCCTCCCCATCTCACATAGTTGGGTATCTCAATGATTGTACAAGTTTCCAAAAGCTAAAAGATCAAAAGTTCCTTTCACAATATAAGGGGTATAATAACTTTATTGATCGATCATTTGAACATTCTGATTTATGATTCAGCTGATAGTAGAATATGGACGACGAGAGTGTTAAACGTTCCTCCTAAACCCGACTAATGGTATCTTAATAAATATGGATAGTTCAATTTATGGGTGATGTGGAAGCAAGTTATTAGGATGCAATCATGAGTTACGGGCGTGGTGTTGCCCATGTATTTGGAGTTTCCACATGATATATGACAACAGGCTAGTAAGGTCGCATGAGAGTTACCTAATGTGAATTGTATCATTTAAACTTTGTCGAGGAGACTAGAATATAATGATGGACAAAGCATATATCTTTGAGAATAATATGGCTTAATTAACCTAATTATGACAGATGCGATGGTTTGAATGGATGCATTACAGTACACACCGATTAAAATGTGTCAAGACAATCCACAACTAATTAAACAAGCTTGAAAGACTTACCAAAGTACTATTAGAGTAATTATTGATAAAATTTTAAGTGTAGTTAAGTTATGATGAAAAAAAGACTAACATTATTTTTTATCGTAACCTTATAAAATTTATGACAAATCAATTATGTCATAATTATTTGTCATGACAATGATGAAGTTGACAAGCTTTTTCACTATCGTAATAATTGGTTAATATAAAAAAGTCCCAAGAACTTGCAACCTTATCACTACATAAAAATGACAGATTTGTAAATAAACCTATAACATGAATAATTATATCATGAAATCTCAAAAGATTACACTCAACAGCTTTCTTTATTCCTTTCTTTCTTTATTCCTTTCTTATTATTGTTAAGACCATCTCCAATGGAACGACAAACAACTGTTTGTCGTTCTTCCGTTGCTCCAACTGAAAGAGTAGCCGACCAAGTAAATATTTCGTTTCTGGGCACCAATAGAGAATTTTTCATGGGTAAAGTCAATGATTTTTGGTTCACAAGGGTAGAAAAAGTGGGGGAGATCGTTTGAGAATGGATTTGTAGAAACAATAATATTTTTTTAGTTTATCAGAGGTGCAGGGGGGCTAGATCCTTCAACAATACCTGATCCAGGGAATGATCCAAGCAAGGTAGATAGAAGCCTCCGGCAAGGTCGGAGGAGTGAAGAAAGAGGAAAACCCGACAGGTAGGAAAACCCTCGCATAAAATAAATTAAATAAAAAAACCAAAAAGAACTAGTGAAAAGGATATAACAAAATAATAAATTAATAATTGTGCCATTAAATACTTCATCTCTACGTTATTACTGCTCCAAGGCCAAATATGATCCAAAAAATTTATATTAACTATATATATAAATAAAAATATCATGACTCATCAATATTAAAGATGACTTTCATTTCCAAAAAATCTAAAATACTTAAAAAAAAGGCCAAGTGAAATCTTCTCCCATTTAAAATTCTACTTCACAATTTGCTTTACTTTTAATCAAAATTTCTTTAAGATATCCTTGTCGAAAACCTTTTCAATACAATCACATATATGGGAGAAGGTTTCGGTCACGATCTTTTATTAAGCATTTAAGATTTTTGGAAATAAAAATCATCTTTAATATTGCTGAGACGTCATATTTTTTATTTATATAATATGCTAGTCAGACATATTAAAAAATATATATTTTTTTATTTTTCTGTCTTTGCACTATTTCCCGGCGTAATATGCATACAAATCAAGTACTTAATTATGTTGCAGACCACTCAAACATGTTTATTTTTATACATTTTTATGATATAAATTAATTTATTATAATTAAATTTAATAAAATATGATAATTATAAGAACATTAAATATTATTTTACATAAGAAAATAATGACAAAAAAAAATTAAAAGAGAGAGAGAAAAAAAAATATCTGTTATAAATGGAATGCTTTACGGCCACTACCCTGTCACTTAATTAACAACAGTTCACTCGAATCGAATCGATGTCGTAGTTTCCCACATTATAAATAAGGGCAGGGAGTTCCGAACATGAAGCAAAAACCCGCGGCCTCTATATTCTCTCTACTCGTTTCCTTGACTCTCCCCTGTTTCTCTCTCCAAGAAATGGCTTTGACTAGTCTCTCTTCTCAAAGCGACTATTTCCAAAAAATGCTATGCTTATCTCCTAAATCCACCAAAGCTACTAGAAGTTCCCCAATGGTTTCCATGAACTCCGCACTTTCTACAACTTATACCAAGTGAGCTTCATATGAAACATTCACTTAGATCCTCCATTTGTCCACTTTTCTTTCAGTCTATGCATGTATGTATTTGTATTAACATATCTTCTTATGATCGATCAGAGTAAGCACTCATAAGAAGCCCTTCATACCTCCACATGTAGTAGAAAATCAAATAATTCACTCCATGCCATCAGAAAAGATGGAGATATTCAAGTCCTTAGATAACTGGGCAGAGCAGAACATACTGACCCATTTGAAACCAGTGGAGAGCTCATGGCAACCTCAGGACTTCTTACCTTCTCCTGCCTCGAGTGAGTTCTATGAGCAAGTGGAGGAACTGAGGAAGAGAGCTAAAGAGATCCCTGATGACTACTACGTATGCTTAGTTGGGGACTTGATCACAGAGGAAGCTCTTCCAACTTACCAGACAATGCTAAACACCTTTGACGGGGTGAGGGATGAAACTGGGGCAAGCCTCACATCCTGGGCTATTTGGACGAGGGGATGGACTGCAGAAGAGAACAGGCATGGGGACTTGCTTAAGTAGTATCTTTACCTTTGTGGAAGGGTGGATATGAGGCAGATTGAGAAGACGATACAGTATCTAATTGGTTGTGGGATGGTAAGTCATGAAATAGTTTTGCTTTAGTTGTGCTTCCTTGGCTTCTGGTTTTGGCTTTAGTTCGGTTCACTTGCAATTTTTTTCATTAATGTTTTTCACTCCAAAATTTCTTATGCAAGAACAAAGTAGAGCACAGGGATGCTAATTTGGGGGCTTTGACTTCAATTATGGCGGGCGGTTCTTTGCATTTATTTATCATTATCTTTCACTAATTACAAGTAAATATACTAAATATCTAAAAGAAATTTCAAATATAAATTATTGGAAAAAGTCAAAAAACCTTTGTTTATTAATTATATTGAATATGTTGACTATATTTTAAAAATGTGTAAGCAATTTTTTTTGTTTTTGTTTTTTTGGGAACAAGTCCATCCACTCGAACTCCCTTAAAAGTACGTGCTTGGTAGCATGACTAATTGTTCTCGGTTGTTCTAGAAGAGACTCATCCAAAAAACCTACTGGCCTGTACTTGATTGAGCCTCCCTTAAGAGGCGTTGCCGATCGAGAAGAATCGAGTACGGGCTGGGTTGTATTCACTGACCAACCACTTAATTTTTGGTTTTTAGTTTGTTTTATTGTTTGAAGGAGTTCTTTGTCTTTTTGTATGCCTTTTTTTGTTTTAAGGAGTTCTAATGTAAGATTTTTTGTCTTTTTGTGTGCTTAATAGTTGATAGAGTTGATTTTTAAAATTTATATATTTTTTTGGAATAATTAGAATGAGCCTAAATTCTTAAACTTTAAAAAATTACATCAACAATTAAAATAGAAATGCAACTTGATACAGTATGACAACTTAAATACAAAAAAGTAATTACAATGTTAACCAGAAATTAAAGAAAGAGAAGCAAAAAATTATGATTAAACGCTTAGAATGAGCCAAAATGTCACCAATGAATCATAAATATTTTCATCTTTATAAGAAATACACAAGTTCCAACCATAAAGTTTTGATTCTTTTTTGTTATTTCATCAAAATATAATATATTTAATATTAAATACACAAATTTTAATAAAATAAATGATTTCAAATCATTTGAAGTTATTCTCAATTCATACTTCAACTTAAC